AGATTATATAACCCGTCGTAAATACAATTTTAATCAGTAATGTTTTTCGGACAACAGGGGCGAAATTCGGAAAAAAACTCATTATATTTGGTTCATTTGTCTCTCATTCACACTGGGATGCGGATGGGATCGAAACCGTTTTGCATTGAGACCTTCGAGCGGAGTTCAATATTCGTTCTTTGTTCCCGACATTTTTTCGCTTTTGTCGTAAGTAGGTATACCTATCTACCTATGCGTTGGTTAAACGTATCTACATCTTCCTACCAACAAGCAACGTTAAGTGAGCGTGTTTGTAGCTCAGGGAACGTGCCTCTTCAAATGTTCACAGACAATTGCGCAAATGTGTACCAGATTTAAGTCTTTTATCCTTTTTGCTGGACGTGCACACTAGACTTATAAAAAGAATACGTAAGAAAGAAGCACTTTAATCCATTAAAAATTTCGGTGAAATCCAATCAATTCTGTCTGATGCACTTGAGAGCTGTGTAAACAGTTTTGTTACGTTATAACGGTGTATTTTCACCCACCTCTAGATAGGCGCGAATCCAGCCCTCAAACTTGATTATCTGAAATGGAATAAGATTATTTGTTTGCCGAAGACCCGTAGAGTCATCGCGGCATCGGCGTGAAGATGCTTTTCGTTTTTAACTTTCGCGTTCCATTACTTTTCTATTTTAATATCACTAGTATTGCATTTATTACAACTGTACCTAACAAAAAAGAAAGAAAATAATTGAATATAGTTGTACAAGTGCACCTAATAAATTATCTAAAATGTTATTTATATTTTAAGCAACCACTAATTCGAAAAGCTTAATTACTCGTGTCGGTAGACGCTGTGCTGCTTACTGAACTCTACAAAACCACTAACGTTTGGATTGCAAGTCCACCTTCTACTTCTTTTCTTCTTATTTTTTTTTCAATAAGACCTCTATTGTACTTGAATAATTTTTCTTTCAATTCTTTGATTAACCTTTGTCTGTGTTTAAGTTTCGCCTGAGGCAGTCACAGTCTTCAAGTGAAATCATATTCTATTATGAACTTGCTACTACTCATGTGAAAAATATTAATTGGATACAGTAAAGTAGGGGGAGGCCTTTGTCCAGCAGTGGACGTCATTTGCCTGAAACGAACGAACGAACGAACAGTAAAGTAGTACCTAACTAAAATCCCCTTTAAAAAGTGTTATGACACTGGTGTGAGCCGGCCATTTGTAAAATCTTTTCATTTTAAATATCGTGTAACAAGAATGGTCGATCGTCAATAAAATTATAAAATTAAGGGATTCTCAGAACACTGTTTTTTCAAGTTTGAAATAATTTAAAAAAGAAAATCTTATTTGTGAAGTGGTATTAACAAAATTAATTGCTAAACCAAGTGAACGGACCAAAAAATCACTTTGGTTTTTTAGAATTTTCTCAAGCTGAATTTTGAGTGAAAATCGAAATATAATTAAAGGGTTGTCTGTCCATTACCTTTAAAATATAAATCAATGAACCAATCTGATGAATTTTGGAGATGGCTCTGGAGGTTCTCTATATCAAAATGTGTCCTATAAGTAGGTATATCGCTAAAGTATAGAACTTGCAGGGGTTGAATTCTATTCTATTCTAGTTCTACTTAGTTGTCATGTTGTCAATCAATCATTTCCTTGGCAATATGAAAACTCAGTCTTTTGGAAATAGCAAATATGTGAAGTTTTCTTGAACGTAAGAAGAAATAGGTACTTTTTACACGCACGACTTTTTTTGTGACAGACTGAATTTCACGCGGGTGAATCCGCGAGAAAAAGCAATAACTCCTATAAATACCATTTCTCATAACTTCCTCTAGTAGTAATTGATATTATTATGTTTGAGCCGTGTCGCCCGTGTGCCGCTCGCTAAGTGGGCTGGTTTGCCGCTCCGGTGGCGCCCTCTAATTGCAGCAGTCAATTTCCGAGTTATACATGTGCGGGTGAGTCGCGGTGTGCTTTTGACTAGTGTAATACGGTCGACTACCACAAGTATGGGGCTGATTTATACGGGCCTATTGAGGAACGTACGAATCTGAGGATAAGGTACCTTAGAGACATCTTTTTTTCAGCAGGTGCAAATGTAAACTTAACATAGTGGCCTCTTTGTAGTTTAAGAAAGTGCGATTTAAATACATAGGTCTTAACCCCACACTAGGAATGACCTGTGTCGTGTAAATGTGTACATAATAAGGGGATTTCAGAAATAATAAAGCAAAAGAGTGTAGGATTTTAATATACTAAGAGCTAGTGAACAGCAGACCTGCTGTATTTTATACTATTGTAGGTACAATTTGGCCTAATAATAGGCTAATAGGTAACCATGGGAACAAATTCCCTGGAGCTTCTTTAATTTAATCGATATTTTACAATTTTCCTAGCAAAAGATAGACATATTCATTAACTCTTATTGCTCGTTTCACACGTTTTGCCGGAGAAGGCTGCTGAAAATGGTGGCAATTGAAATAAATGTGTTCGTTCATTTATTTGATCGTTTCTGGGACCAAAAAGTTATCTACTTTTACTGAAATTTCACTGAAGTGACAGTATTGATTTTAGTCGGTTATTGCTAAGACATAGCGAAGCGATGGCGAGACTTCATTTATTACGAATTTTACTTTTGTCTTAGGACCCATAGTAACGTAAGGCTATTTTAAAATGTAATGGACTATTTCAAAATATCATTCTAACTTAATCATGTATTTTTTCAATAATGTCATTTTAAAAACAATGAAAGCGCTACAGCAGAGCGGACAGTTTTGAAAAAATTTCTTATAAATACCTATGTATAGCTTTACCATAACAATTTATGTCTGTCAGAATAAGTCAGAATAACATAAGCGCTATAACGTGACCTAAGTCCTTTCTGACTCTCCTGGCCCAAATTATATTTATTGTTGGATACCCAACTAGGCGCAGCCTGTTATAGCAATAAGGATATCATTTCCTAAATTTAAATTTCAACGAGCATACATAATAATAACCATGGAGATAGCCCCGAATGAACTACGTATCTACATTTAATTACTTTAGGGGCTTAACCTTATAATTACTTTAGTTAATATGGTTACTTACTTTGAAAGTTGTTCACTATAATTAGGTAACAACTTAATTATTGCGCTGTAAATAGCCTGAAGTGGCGAGTAATTAAACTCGACAATCCTATCAAAGCTAGTTTATGTAGGCATCAGAGTTAAATCTACCTAACAGAAAGTTATTTTATGAATAAAAAGTTAAATTACCATATAAGACGTATGAAAATGTGAACTGTAGAGTTGACTATTTTTTATGGATTCGTCTCTACTATGCATTGATGTTTTAATCTCACTAAGTATTTTGTTGATTTCCGTTTCGTCCTTCTAATTCCGATCATTTCAACCTATATTCTTATAGCATTCGCAGGCAGAATTCGATAAAAATAATGGAGCGCATACGCCTTCATATTTCATGCATCTCTCTTTTCTGCAATATTATGGTCTCTTTTTTTCTATACCTAAATCTATCAAAGTGTGTGCAATGTGGTAAGCGAACCCAGGATCTATGCCTTAAGAAAGTTTAAACTATGTATTAGTCTGTACCAAGATGGTGTTAGTAAAAATTTTGATACTTATCAGCTTCAAGATTTTTTTTTTCATATTTTAGGGGTATGTCGGAGGTAAATCTACCTCCCGTAGCAGTTTGATGCACCGATTCTGGGACACCCTGTATTTTTGAATATCAGGTAAGTAAAGGTCTTTAGAAAACACATTATTGCAATACCTAGCTAGTGACTCAAGAGATGTACAATTTTAGTACGCAAATGTTGGCAACCACTACCAAATATTTAATAACGATTCTGTCAAAGGGTAAGAATAATTCAGTTTCCCTTTGACAGACAGTAATGAATATTCCAATTTTCGTGATAAATGTTTCGAATCAATTCAGAGGACTGTTATTTTCCCGAACGTCGGGAACGACAATAGAATCGTTGGAAAGAACAAACAGAAAGTAAGTAATTTACAATTTGTAATCTTCACAGCTCGTACAAACTCCATTGATGCAGTACATGAACAATGTCTCCAAATCATTGCACAGTTGACGGCACAGATTATGCCCTAAAATGGCAACAGTGTTTATTTTAGTGCGGTCGTATTGTATTCTTCTTCTAAATGTAATATAAAGAGTTGTCACGTCTTTATACTATCCACATTTCTTTAGTTACACCAAAGTTTCCATTTGCCAAAGGAAGCCTTACTTAACTTCGGAAGTAGTGCGGCAACGAATTAATTCGTAACTATTAAGTAAGGCATTGTCACAGGCTCAAACTCACTCCACGTCTTCTATTGTGAAGGATGGACAAATCAAATTATTATTCCTGTCACAAGCCCGTTTATTTAAGCAGCACAATATTCAGTGCTTAGAGGAAATTGTATGAAGTAAATGAAGACATAAAATTAATTAACGTTATAAAACAGCAATACCGAAATGTCTGTTATTTTAGTAGCGGTAGTATATTACCTGAAAGAGCCGAAAGATTTTATGGTAAAGATGGGGATATTTATCGATGTATAAAAGCAAATCCTAAAACGCAGATTTACTGGCTTCATAATTTTACTTCGGCGTCAATAAAAATCAGTGTTGGGTCGGAGGAATCTTCAGCGTCCCCTCCGTAGCCAGCTACGAGCCGTAGCGGCCCGTAGTCGCAGCTCGTAGTCAGTGCTACGACCGCCACTCGCCGCTACGCCCGCCCGTGGCCGCGACGCCCGCGACTCGTACGCGACTTTCACTCGAGTCGTTAATCACATTTTACGAACGTTGTAAAAAATTTATTACTTAATTCGACTTTCTGTTGCGCACGGATTTGTTATTATAGGCCAAAAAGTATGACCTCGCAAACACCTTGTGTAAACTATGTTCCCCAGTTAGATAAAGTTTAAGGTTTCGGATTTCGGTTTTGTTCGTATCTCATTAAGTATCGCCTATAATGAGGCGGAGGCGTATCATGTTTCAGCATTGAAGAACCCCAGCCTATGTTCACCATGATTCCTTCGACGCTTGCTCTACATTTAATTTGGATGACAACGACATTTTTCTTCAAAGGTAAGCTCATTAACATTTTCATGAGTTTTGACTTCGAATGGTTCTGGAATTAACGTTTTGTCTGACGATTACCTGCTTAATATTATTTTAGGTACTTAAATAATAAAACAGGTAGACTTATTCAGTTCGTCCATGGATCGGGTAATTATAATGCTCATACACGAGTTAAACGGGGCTTAATGGGGACAAAAAGTTGTTTGGTTCAGACCTAAAAGGCTTTGTGGTACTTTGTTTAAGCTTGCCTGTGAAGCTTCGTCTATATCCCTCTCTTCCAGGACAAATTTGTCAATTATTGCAAAGTTAAATGGCGGTAACGATTACATGCCTACACAGTATACCCTCGACATCTCGTCGTGTCGTAATTAATTTCCATTATTCAAACACCGTGAAAGTTCATGAATATTAATATTCATTTGAACGATTAATAAAAGCACGGGATTGAGACGCTTAAGGTGTTTTCTAAGTAGGAGCTCTCGAACAGCTAACAGAAAATAAAATAAAATCTTTTACAAATGAATTCAAAGTAGTGCGAACTATTCAAAAGTTCGTAGTTCTCGCTACAATATTAAAATCAAACCGTGTGTGTGCGTGCATGTTACACATACAGTGGATTTCGTAATATTTTACAGGAATCCTATATTTACAAAATTCAAATTTGTTTTTAATATACAAAAGAAAAAACGTAAGGCTTTATGTGTCTAGGTGTATGGGAATGGGATGGTCTTTCTTCTTAGGTATAACAAACTGAACAATAATTATAATTTTTCATGTCCATAGATAGGCGCTTTCATTTGATGCCTCACAGGTTTCTAATACCAACAGTTCTTCATTCCACCGCCATCTTTGGGTCACCAAAATAAATCTCATTTAAGTAGGTACTTGTAAGTAAATTGGCTGCGTGTGACAGACGGATAGACTGACAGACACCTGAGTGACTTTTTTGGGACCCTCTTTAGAAGACAATAGGTACTTTATTGAATTTTATTCACAGTTTGTTGTTAATGAACCCTTTATAGTTAATACTTATTGATTCAATATAAGCAATAGGATAGTATCGCATAGCTAACATACTCTACTATTGTGTATGTATAGCATATGTTCTACATCCTCAGTAGCGAATCAATCACAGGTCGTCACAGGCATACTAGCAAAGTGATACAATCGATACTTTGATAGTATCGACAATGTTATTAAATAAAAAATTATAGCATCATCTATCAATCACATCGATATTGTTACTAGTTTCAAGTTCAACATAACATTATTATGATCTAGTTATTAATTTTGCGAATATGAATATCGTAACATCACTTGCAAGTCCAACAGAGTTGTTTTGATATTGTAAAAACATTGGAGAGAAATACGAGTAGTATTCTGTCACAGTAATATGATTCGGTTATACTTCATACAGCCTCCGGGCTTCTTGAATAGGCATTTACTGGAAAGGTACGTACCGTACCGCCCTAGACTGCACCTCACTTAGCATCAGGTGTGATTTCGATCAAATACCTGCCTTTGGATCAATAAAAAGAATGTCTTAGAGCGCTTTAGCTTTCACGACTTTAGCAGCGCGACTGTTACGCTGCTGATAATTTCATACTGTACAAGTATTGTAAGTATTTGTGGAAATCCTTGGGGATGCCTTGGTCCAGCAGTGGACGTCTTTCGGCTGAAACGAACGAACAAGTACGATAGCGCAGCAGCAGCGTTTTTATAGTGTGAAGGCATCAGCTGGTGCTGCGCTGCTGTCATGCTTCTGGACGCTCCAATGTGAAAGCGGTCTTAAATTGAAAACTAAATATACATAGTCAGTGAGTATACAGCATTAGGTACCTATGACAAGTTTTAAAGGTCGTTTTCAATTAGCTTTCAAGGAGCCGCGGAGTTGAATTTATCGAAGAATCATTGAAGGAGAAAACAATTACCCAACCGACCGAGGATAGGTGGTAATTAATGGGCGAGCTTACACGCCTAATTGATTATCAAATCAATTTCTTCCCCTCGCACTACGATGCATTCTTGTGGCTCTACTAAAATAATTAACGGATATTATCGAGTTTAACATAAATGCAGAGCTTGAGCTTTGAATAAGCGATTAAAAGAACTTTGAATTTTATCATCTAACCTGAACAATGCAATTTTAGGGAAACAATTTAACAAAACGCTGACAGATGTAGACAGGGTGGAATATTGTAATGCCACCTGGAGGGAAAGTACTCTTAATACTGTAGATAGAAATTTTACTGAAAGAAAACATTCCTTTATTTTTGAAAAGAAAGAGAACTGCATTCAAAGATTTTCGATTTTTTTTCCAAAATTCACTACCATACCATACAATTTTCTGTACATAATTAAAATAATTTAAGATTTCATGGTTTTCCTTTCATTTGATTTATCAAGTTTGTTAGAGAGATTTCATCCTTATACTTAACCCTAACGATCGATGTAATAAAAATGCAAGGTGTAATTTTTAACAGATTTTAGTTGGTTCGATTCCCGGTTGTGGCAAGCAAAATTTGGAAATCTTTGAATGCAGTTCTATTTATTTTTAAAAATAAAGGAATGTTTTCTTTGAGATTTTTTTCTATCTTCGATATTAAGAGTACTTTCCCTCCAGGTGGCATTACAAAATTCCACCCTGTATAATAAAAATTGTGGTGGACATTTTATATCTTGCAGATAGTCAGTCAAGATCAATTTAAAGTGATCTTTAAACCCTTAAATATAGTTTGAACATTTATAATTATGTACAGTCAGCGTCAAATAGTTTTGAAATTGACACCCAAAGTAGCCAAAAAGTTCGCAACACGTCTTTGTTACGATTGGAATAAGGTTGTGTTATCAACTTTTTGGTCACTTTAGGTGTCATCATAAATTTGACGCTAACTGTACCTACTACATTAGGAGTAACTGAAATGACAGTGCTATAAATAATATTGATGATTTTTCTGTTTTATTCACCTTGATTTTATTGTGATGAAAAGATATAAAACTGTGCGGTTCAGATTTAGTTTTTATGATCATGAGAGAACTGTTGAATCGGAAAAACTGCATGAAGTCGTGCAGACAGAGATATCCCGAGAAGTGGCCACCGATTTGTCATACTAGATACGTGTCTATGTGGCCACTGGAACCCATTAATAATTGTACCTTACTACGATACCTTCAAACTGTCTCTAAGAAGAATGATGTGGGGTGTCCTTAAGGGAGGTGTATGGTGTGCTATCGGTTACCGCTAATGATGAGAAACAGGTGGGTAGACCAATAAATAACCACTAACAAATGTGCCCATATTGCTGCTAAGTTAGTGAAGCGTTTGCTCTGGAGAATAATGAACTGTTTTGAATTATGAATAGACATTTTGGATTGCACTTTATGTGTTTAAGAGCAAAGAAAATAGTATGGTTTTAGTTTCCAAATAAACAGACCGAATCTAATTTAATCGAATTTCTGTATAATAAAACGTTCTGTTTATGAGTATTAGCTTTCTAGTAGTAAGAATCTTAATTAAACTTGTTTGTGCTTTAAGTACCTAAGTTTTTCATGGGATAGATAAACATTCAACAGATTACCTAGATTAAGAACCGTATTTGAACATTCGGTTCCGTTTATTTCGTTTAATGGAGAAGCTTAGATTCCGGTTCTCATAAATTGATTTCGATTAAGTTTATTTTAATATGATCGAGTTTTAATGGTACACCGATATGCTGAAGGTATATCTATTTTTTTAAAATTTTTTTTTAATGGCAACCAAACCTCTCTGGGAGGTTTATTTCTGCCAATGTCGAGTGAAAAATAATTGACATAGTTATCAATAGAACGTGGGTATTTAAGTTCTATTGATTTTTCATGGATTCCGTGGAGTTAAGTATGCCCGTAAGCAGGTTTCGAGACGCCACCGGGTCCAAAGCGAGTTGTTCATACGACAACCCACTCGACACTCGATACGCGCTCAAATTCGAAGTATTTCAATGTTTTTTATAATTTATCACTTCACTGCACTTTAGAACACAAAATAACACCAAATTTTTACACTAAAGTCCATTAAATAATAAATTGAAACCATTAAAACAGATCGACCATGCTTCCCGTTCAACTACCCTCCACGGAATCTATGCTGAGGTAGCTAATTTGTGAAAAAATACTAGTAACTCATTAATTTTCCTGCCAGTTTCATAGAAAATTAACTAGGTAAATCCTGGCATTTTTTATATTATCGAGAAAAGTTTGGTCTCTCTTCTGCACGAAATCCTACAAAAACAAGAGGTCTTTGTTGACTGGTCGATTTTGAGATGACATTCACAGCGTTGAAAATACAGCTATAAAACAGTCTCAAAGAACACCGGAAATTATTTCGCTAGAAGGATTTGACTGCAACAGAAATATTGGCTTGCTTTCTGCAATAGCAGTTTACAAACCACGACATACGCCCACACATAATTCAGTGACTCTAAATAAACGGGAAATAACTTGCATAATTTATACGACACTTAAATATTTCCCATATTTCCATTTGTTTCCCGGTATTTTGGGTTTTGTGGACGTTATTTGAAGCGTATTTTGTTGAAGCAACTCAAATGGAAGTCCTGCGGGATCTGATAAAATGTCATTTGCTCATTTTTTATCAAATGTAGGTACATTGAGTTCTCCCAGTGTCCCTAAACTGTTTATTGAAAATAGAATGTAAGGTGGAATGCGATTTATGTTATTTTCCGAGGAAAGAAAGAAATGAAACTTTAAAAATGTACCTACTTACCGACCGACTTAGATTCCGTGGTTAGATCATGAAAATTGCACTTGTAAGTAATGAAATTATCAAGGCATATTCGTAGTATGAGTTTTGTGACGTTGAGTGTTTTAACAATATCCAAGATGTAAGAGAAGAAAGATTCGCCACTTTCTTATTAGCAGATGCAATTTGTATTCAAAACAATAATTTTTGAGTATAAGAATTTATTTTCTCGACTATAGTGTTGCGTTCTTATGTAAGCGACAAAAAT